CGGAGTGGCGAGTTTGCCCCAGATTTCTGGTAGTTGCTGTGGTGGCACGGATCTGCACCTCTCATCCTTTCTCTCGTGAGCAAGTCCAAATTCATCCTCGATCCCGAGCTGACGGACTAATGCCCTCAAACGCCCGACGAGCTCATTCCAGGGTACTCTGCTCCTGCTCCTAGTTACTACTGGTGTGGGACGCTGGGCACCCACCCATGGTCTGGCACCGGAAGTCAAACGCTGGAAGGTTCTCATTCCTTCTGGCAGTCCGTGCTAGCGAAAAGAACAAGGCAGCACCCGTGCGGCATGCTCGACATGATGCAGACCTTGTTCACCGAGCACTGGCCTGCGTATATGCAGGACGACGACGCCCCAAGCCCGTCGTTGCCGGAGCCTTCCCTCGTCAGTGGCACTGCCCTGCACAAGGTACGTCAGAATTCGGCCGCAGAATACTGGATGCATCGAGAGTGCAGCAATCATTGCGTGGTCGAATGCAAAGGAACGAAGTTCTGGATTATGCGTAGTCAAGCTACACCTGCGCAAGCCAGCGTTCTGCCGAGGACCGCTAGACGGCTCGTGGACATGCTGTGCATGTCAGAAGCGGAAACGCGGCAATTGTTCCTCGATGCCGAGATCCTGATACGTACCGAGAGCGGTGGCTATCGCATCAGCATATCGGAGCTCGAGCTGCTCTTCGGCGCGCATGCTGTGGTCATGGAAGGCCCCCTACCTGGCGAGTATTGCCCCAAAATCTACCGCGCAGCCACATGCCAGGGCAAACGCGTGTGCACATGTGGCACCTTTGCCCAGGGTGAAACGGACCTGGGCTATCTTCCCGAGAAGCGGAAGGCAGGCCGCCCAAAAGCAGACGCTGCCAAGAAGAAAGCACGTGCGTTTGGGCACAAGTAGCTAGAAGTGCCGGCATGGCATCTGGACATGCAGTGTGACGAGAGAAAAGTCCGTGTTTTTGCCTGCGAGATCCGTGTGATGTTTCAAGCAAGGTCAGCGCCCCCGAACCTCTACTCGTTGCAGACATATACACATGCATCAAGTAGATTCGCTTTATGCCAACGTGGATTCGCCAACAGTGAGAGACCACTACAAGGAGCATGACGGTCAGGACTCCCAAGAACGACCAGCACGACGGCCAGGAGACCAGCAAGAGCCCAGCAAGAGCCCAGGAAACCGCCACAAGTACTGCCAGCACACCACCAGTAGGACCCCCAAAACAAGCAGGAAACTGCCAGGAGGGGTCGCGGGATTAGCTGGAGAACACCGAAAGAGTTACAGGGTTCTCCAGTAGGGTGCAGCATTCGGAAAGCACCCCCTACCAGATGCTTCCTCGCCTTGTCTGCTGGTTTTGAAGCCTTTAATTTAAGCCTTTGCAGGGCGCAATGGCTAGAATGCTTCCCCCCCTTGTCTGGCGGGATTCAAAGAGGGGGACACAACCCGTCAGCAACATAAAAGTCCCGTCAACATGCCAACAATGCTAACGAGACGTTGAAATGCCAAAAGTCAATTGCCGTGGACATGCCAAGAATAATCAACATGCAAAAATGGGCCTGTCGACGTGCGAAATGTCAATTACCGTGGACATGCTTGAAAAGGAACCGTGGGCTGGCGTTTGGGTTTTCTGTGGGGCCGTTTTCTGTACAACTCATCCATCCAGGGGTCACATGGCTTTGTCTCCAGAGATCACATATGGCGGGCCTGTGTGTGCGGAGAAAGTAGAAACTGAAATTTACCGTGGAAATGCTTAAAAACGAGCCATGGACTGGCGCTTGGGTAAGTTGACCCGTCAATGTGTCAAAAAGGGCCCGCTGCCATGGCAAGGGCAATGCATCGTGGGCCTGTGTAGGCAGAGGAATATTGAGAGTGAAAAATGGCACAACGAACCGTCAAAGGCCGTGTCAACATGTCAAACAGGGCTCGCTGCCAGAGCAAAGGCCGGGCCCCCGCCCTTCAAGGAACATCCTTTCCCGCCTTCTGGCCTGTGTAGGCAGAGGAATATTGAGAGTGAAAAATGGTACAACGAACCGTCAAAGGCCGTGTCAACATGTCAAACAGGGCTCGCTGCCAGAGCAAAGACCGGGCCACCGCCCTTCAAGGAACATCCTTTCCCGCCTTCTGGCCTGTGTAGGCAGAGGAATATTGAAAGTGAAAAATGGTACAATGAATTGTCAAGGGCCGTGTCAACATGTCACACAGGGCTCGCTGCCAGAGCAAAGGCCGGGCCCCCGCCCTTCAAGGAACATCCTTTCCCGCCTACTCCAAGTCTGTAAATCCCGCGTTCGTGACGAGGAACGAGGTACGACCGTGTATGCTAGCAACCAACATCCGCTAAGTGAAACATCGAAGGTGCTTCGGCCAATAGAATATCGAAGGTGTTTGCTAGGAAGCATCGAGAAGATTACTCTCGAGTCTGCCATCGAGAGAGGGGTGCACATGGCGAGGAATGTGTGAAGTGCTAATCTTTTGTGGCCATTGTGCTCACAGACCCCAGTGCTAGTGGGGGGCAATTTTGAAGGATTTCCGGTGGTGTAGCTGGGAAGTGGCGGGAAGGGATGTTAAGCTAGTGTACTTCGAGGAACATCCCTTCCTGCCTTCTCGAGGTTCCAGGCCGGAAAGAAACCCGGTCGCAGGGTTTCCACGGCCGGAAAAAACCCTGTCGGAGTCAGGGCACGAAAGCAGCCCGTTCGGGGGTCGAAAAAAACCTCGGCCATCTTGCACCCTACATCCTTCTCGCACCTAAACCCTAAACCCCAAACCCTAAACCCTAAACCACGAACCTTAAACCCTAAGCGAAAGCTTTAAACCTTAAATCAAACCCTAAAGCCTTCTGCTTCGGATGCCCCCCAGCCGCCAGAATCATGTGGCACCTGCTCTACGGGCTGTTGTCCTCGGGGCAGGCGGGGAAAATAACATAGGGGCTTCAATAATAATTACCTAGGGTTCCTTTTAAAGAGATCCTTACAGGGGTCTACAAGGGAACTATACTAGGGTTCTGTATTAAGGGGCTTCAATAATTATTAGTACTATTTTGGTGGTTCCTTATTATGATGAGAGTATAATGGGCCCCAAGACCATACTCTAATTATTCAGGCCCTTATTTTTTGGGAAGAGCACTAGCGCGGGGCTCTACAAGGGATCTAAGAGGGTTCCTATGCTGGGTTTAGGGCTTCTGCGTTTTGGGTAGGGTTCTTGTACTTAGGGTTCTACAGAGGGTCTAGAAGAGTTGCTTGAAGGGTTCCTGTAGGAGCTGACTAGGGCTTTAGGCGCCTGGTGTTAAAGTTTAGGGTTTATCACGTTCACCTTTGTTTCCAAACCCCTTCAGTTGAGCTAGATGGTGGTCTGACTTGGAAGGGTCCTTTGAGGGTTCGTGGTCCTCCAAGGACCCGGCAGAAGCTACCAGTTTGAGGCGTTTGAATTTCGTCTCTATGACCCATACTGCCAAAAAGTGTTTCACCAGGCACACCCCGGAACCCCGAGACTAGGAAACCTTGAGCCCTATAAGCCCCACAAGCCCTTTGAGCCCTGAACCTTGGATCCCCTTATTTAAACCAGAACCCATAAACCTTAGTTTTCCCCCAAACCCCAACTCCCCCAAATCCTAAATCCCCTAAACCTTTATAAAACCCGTAAACCTTAAGTCACCTAAACCTTAAATCCCCTAAACCCTTAAACCGTGACCCATCAACCCCAGGCCTCAGCTGAACGTTTCACGCACAGAAAGAAAACTCGCCCAGGTCCTACTCGCGACCTTGGCGCTCATGGTGCTTGCAGTGTACATCTCTGCCTGTATAGGCCGGGGGTCAGGATTAATACAGGAGCTGAATTTTTAATTACCATCCAGTATCATCCTGAATTAACATAGAACCAGACCCCTCAACTACCCAATATACCACAAGTACCCACCATTAAGGGACATAAGGACGCTGTTAAAGGGCGCTTGGGGTTGGACTTGGAAGCTTAAGCATAAGATAACATCATCCTCGAGGGCTCCTTATTCTTATGAGCTATGAAGGAGCTCCAAGCGCGCGATTCCAATGAGTTAAGGCTCCTGCATTAACGGTTTTGGGGAGGAGAGTGAGGCCCCTTATCGAGAATACTATAGGGGTTTAAATAATTTGCACTACGTTTTTGGGGCTTCTTTATCATAATTACAGTATCATGGGCCCCGAAACCCTATTCTAATTATACATTAAGACCCCTATATTAGACGATCGGTTAAGGTCCCCGCTTCAGGGAATTCCCTTTTACCTGCTTCAGGTCAGTTTCTTCCCAAGCCCTCAATTTAGTGTCATAGTATCTCCTAAGGCTCATGCATACAGTGTACCATCACCGAAAACCTGGCCCCTTATATTGAGTGGTTAAGCTTTGACCTCAGCGTGACCGAGCAGGTTGCATTGCTGGAGTCGGTCAAGGAGAAGCACTAGCTACCCTTGGGTGCAGGACGTCAAAGCTATGCCGATCGTGATCGTGGACTGCAGAGCGACGGGTGATCCAGCCCAGGACAAGACTCTCCCAGACCACCTGGGAATCTTCCCGGCGAATATCGGCCCATGACGCAGAGCCGCAGAGCTGCAAATGGGTATCGTGGTGGCAAGACATCGCGGCTGCGATCCACAGGATAAATGCGGGAAGAGCCGGAGATGGACCCGGAGCCATGAGTCCAAAAGCCCTGAACCTCAACGCACCACTTATCAGGTTCCAGAAGTGAGGCCATGTTCACCTTGAAAGTTGTAAGTTGTGGTTTATGCTTTGTGCATTTGAGGGCTCCCTTTTCTTTGTGCAGGCTTTTCTTCAACTTTACACCTGTTGCTTGGCTTCTAAGTTGGGATGGAGCTGAATCCCTCGTATACTCTTCAATCCTCAGCCCAATCCCCGAACCTACTCGCAGGCTCTAAGAACTCGAATTTAAGTTTAGGGCTTTCCGGCTCAAACACCCGCCTATTTACCAGAAACCGATTGCACCCCACTTTAAACCCTGCATCCCTAGTCGAACTACACTTCAAACGCCAGAGCCTACCCCGTGAACCCCAAGACCTAAACCCGAAACCGTACCACCTACACCCTTAATCCAACTCCTAAACCCTGAACCCCCCAAATCCACACCACACACCCTAATTCGTAAACTGCGAACCGTAACCCCTGTACGCTACCCGTGAAATCCTAAACCCTTCGCGTCATAAACACCCCGCGAATCCTGAATCTCAGATGCCTTCTACTAGGTATTCCGACTGTAGCAGGGAGGAAAAGGGCCTTCAAAAAAAAAGGGATGCCATAGACATCCAACTTCGCAAGGAGTCGAGCTCATCACTAGGGATGCGGACCTCGCCGCAGACCCTGCGACCAGTTCGCTTCATGGCTTTAACTCGCCCGTTAACACGTGTTAATCGCGCAAGGCTTATACCTATGCATACTCGTTCCACACAGGTGTTTGTTTGTTTTGCTATTGCTGTGTGTATATATACATATATATATATATATATGTGTGTACACACAGTTGACATGTGCAGCAATATACACATAACACACCCATGCGTAGGTATATATGTATACATATATTTGTATAAGTTTATTCATACTTGATATATATATATATATATATAGATATATATACATACACACACACATAATCTCTGCATGCTTAACCCAAGGGTGGTGAGCAACAGCTTTGGCAGCCTTCGTCTGGCGATGCTGACGATCATCCAGTGGCTGGGACTTTGAAGACTGCGGAATCCTTTTGGGTTAAGGTTTACCTGGACCCTAAGGAACCTACCTTGTTAGGGTTTCCTAATATGGTTTCTTTATATAAGTCCTTAAAAAGGTAGGTTACGTGGGCTTAAGGTAGGGTTTAGGGCCAAAGTTTAGGGTTTGTTTACGGTTTACGGCTTAAAGCTTCAAAGCAATGGGGTGCAGATGATTTCGTGTCAACTTATAAGTTGTTTACAGGACCCGACTGCACCCAGTGAAGAAATATACATACCTTGTTTTTCCCAGATGTCCTCAATCCTGCACGCTAAACCGTAAGCCCCAAACCCTAAATCCTAAAACGCTTAAGCCCTTAAACCGAAACCCCAAACCCCTAAACCCCAAACCCTAAACCCTAGAACCCAAACCCCAAAAGCAGACAGAGCTGCAAGGCTTGCAAGCCATGAATTTCACGAGCCAAGCAACCCAAGACCCTGGATCCTAAAGACAATCAACTCTAGTATATGGCCCTTCAGAATGAAAAGAAGGTCTTGGGGTATGTTGTATCAACGTGTTTATAGTTTATGTGTTACTTTAAGAGTTCCTTTCTGGTTTCGTTTTAGGGTGCCTTTGAGGGTTCCTTCAAGGGTGCTAAAGGAGTCCCTCAACGAATCCCTTTAAGGGATCTATAGGGTTTCCCTTGAGGGTGCTGGAGGGTGGCAGAGTGGATTCTGATATTTAGGTGTGGGGTGATAGGTAGGTCGCAAGCCTGCCTTATAGCGGTAACTTGGCTCCAGCTCTATAGCAAGCATGTCAAGGTTTATCACCTTGGACTCAATCCACCAGCAACCCATCTGCAGTTCTGCAAGGGGGGTTCAAGGGTTGAAGGGCTCAGACGGGTTGTTTGCGTATTCATGTAGGGCTTCTTAAGATATTAGTGAGTGTATACTTCCCGGCATTTTCATGCGGATCTGGCAGTAAGCGCCCAACTCCATGTGAAAGGCTTTGCATGGGCTTCATGTGCTCTCACCTGTGGATCTTTCGGGTATACGGGTGTAACAGGCTTAGGAGCAGAAGCATGCATGCGAAAGGAAGGATCCTTGGCTTGGCGGTAGAGGAGTCCCTTTTTTCGGGGGGGGGGGGGGGGGGGGAGGCTATCCCGTAAAGCCCGTTCGTGAGATCCTGATGTGTGTGTGGTACTTCGGGGCACTCACGACCCCTGACACCACAGCTTGAAACTAAACTCCGACATAACTCTACTAAGCCCTAAACTTTAAACCCCAAGCCCAAACCCTCAGCCAAGTAGCCTCGACCCCAGGCCGCAAGATAATTCCCGAGCTCTCGACTTCAGATCCATTGGTGCTTCAGGGTTTAGGTCTTAATTATCAGGAAATTTAAGGTCTAGGCTTTGAGGGGCTTGGCATGCAGGGGTAAATAGGGTTCAGGATTCAGGGTTTAGGGTTCAGGGTTTACCTGTTAGAGTTTGACGGTTTGACGGCGTGCATCATCGGTATTCTCTTGGGGTGGGTGCGGGGGCGTGGGGGTAACGCCGTCTCCGACGCTGAATCTGAAAGCTGGAACCCAAAAACCCAGTAGCCTGACTATGTTGTACTGAGGGGCAAAGATGCTGCACACAACATTGTTCTGGGCCTGGTCGGCGTATGAATGGGCTTTAGTACATTTCGACACAAAGAAAGATACATGAAGACAGAAAGAACTAGAAAGGGAGCGCGAAAGGCATAGATTAATAGATAGGAAGAGGATTTAAAGATTCTGCGTCGTTTTGGGCTCAGTGATTGTATTTCACGGTCGTGGAGACCTAAAGCAACTCGCCCTCCCCCCCTGGCCCCGTCCCAAACCAGTCCTTTTGGGTCACCTTTCCTGCGTGTCCTTCAAAAAGAGCACCACGATCTGCATCCCGTTCCTGCTCCTGCACCACAGACTCCACGCCCTCAAACTCCCATACACCCCTTATAAGAACCCTCAAACTTTCTTTTAAGAACCCTTGTAGAGCTCTCAGAAGAATCTCTATACTCTGTTTGAGACTTTTAAAGCTCGCTCATAGAACCCTTCTACTTGCCGTTGAAGAAGAAACCCTTCTAGACCCTTTTACAGGAACCCCTATTATTTCTTTAAAGAGCCCTTATAGAGGCCTTACAGAAACTTCGTAGGACCCTTCTAAAACTCGGTCAAGAACCCGGCCGAGGATCTACATCCCCCAACTGTACGCCCTAAAACCCCTCTACACCTCTTTGTAAGAATCCCTAAGTATCTTTAAAGAACCCTGCCGAGGAGAATAAACTACTTGTGGACACTTTACCGAACTAACCTTTGATATTGGAGGAGCTAAGGAGCCAGGGATGATAAGAACCCCTATTAAATAAGGAGCTAAAGAGCCAAGGGAGCCCCAAAAGCACTGGTTAGCGAAGCCTGCCAAGGATTTACATCCCCTTGGTAGTCGCCAAGCCTAATCTGATCTTCTACTTCCTTGCGGTGCTTTTGATCCTCCCCATCACGCTCATGAACCTGGCAGGGAACTCGGTGATCCATTGTTAACTTATGAAAATGAATGGTATGACTATTATATAGTGGTTTTGCCATTAAAACTGTTTTTAGCAGGCTTCGCAAGGTTTGATATGTTGTAGTTCCAAGTATTTTCGGGGCGGCTCTTGCTTTTTTTCCGCGTACTGGCGCTACGGGGCTCTTATTTAAGCACTTTTTTTCAGAACCTGGCAGGGCACTTGGTGATCCGCGAAGGGGTGGGCTTCTACCAGATTACCACATGTATCCGGCTGTATGAACAGGTTTTGCAAGGTTTGATATGGTTTTGTTTCAAGCAATTTAGGGGCGGCTCTCCCCGTTACCGGCGTTAAGAGGCTCTTCTTTAGGATTTTTTCCTTCAGAGAATGTACACGGCCAACCTATCAGTTGGTGTACTGCGATATTACTAAGCCCTAAACCCTAAACCGTCGGTGCTCGTCTGGCCTGAAAGATTCAAGGCTTTCGTAAGATTTAAGCGGACTGTACGGCTTTCGGGATTTCGGGTTGAGGTTTTCTGGTTGGTAGTGATTTAGTGATTAAGGGGTCCGTAAAATCTCAGTGATCCTTACTGTGTCTAACAGGGGCTTGAACTATTACCTCTGGCCTAGTGGGGAATTCAGAGCCAGGATGTATGTCTTGTATCTTCGTCCTTGCATGTATGCAGGCATACGACCGCATATATGCCGTATTTCCTCTGTGTACTTTCTGCACTTAAGTTAAGATCCGCGATCCATGACGAGGATCCTGTGAATCGCTCTTTAATGAACCATTCTCAAAGGTCACGGCAGTGCTGGTGGAGAACTCCCTGACCCAGGCGGCATGCAGCATGCGGGTGTTGCTTTTCGTGCTTACAAGCATGGCTGCCATAATTCGCAACAGTGTTGCGTAGGGTTCCCATTTTCACTGGAGTATCAAGCCCCCGAAAACCCCAATCGAGGTTACTAAGGCTCGTAATTCGTTTCAAGCGCTGAAGCTGAAGAGATAGCGTTTAGGCCAGTACTTGCGGGCATCCGGGGCTGTAGTCTGGCACTTCTTCCACACCTAAAGAGGATGATTCATTCTGATTAGACGTTCAGCACCTTTTCGCTTCAATACCTTTGATTCAATATCAAGCCATCGTCTTGAACCTCTCGTCTTTGGATATTGCCTCGGCCGTGCGAGGAACAGAGCTTCCAACAAAGTGAGCTGCCCGATAGCCGTTGAGAAAACCTGGGCCCAAGCTGACCATGGGTGCTTTGCGTGTTGAGGCACTTGGGGACTGGCAGCTGAAATCAGCACAAACAAAGAGACAGATGCGACCCACAACGAAAGCATCATCAGCAACGGGGATTCAGGGCGACAAGAACAAGATCGAGCACACAGGCAAGAGCATTCGCGTGAAACCTAGTACCACGACCACAGCCACTATTAACAAACACGACGGTTGGCAGCACTACCAACAACAAGGTCAACAACAACAACCACGACGACAGCAACAACCGCAACTTTCATCATTTTCGCAGACAGCCAGCAGCCACGACCACCAGCAAGACAAACACAACAAGAACAACAGAGCCATAGACGCACGCTGTGCTACTTTTTGCCTTCCTGATGTCCCTAGACACTCACTGCTTATTCTAGATTTCTCAGGCGCAGCAAGAAGCGGACTACGAAAGCAAGGCTGGCACACATGTCGGTGACCAAATTTAAAGGTCGAACGGGGTTTGGTGTATTTTTAATATATAACTAAATACCTACTAGTGTTGTTGTGCAGGTTTGCATTCACAAGTAGCATTAAGGGCTTAGGAACTGGGGACGTCGTGCTGATCGTTTTCATGTTACCCTAAGCTTCCAAAGAATTGAAAATTAGGTACTTGGGATAAGGATAGTAGTTATGTAGCTCAATATCTAGGAGAGCGTATGATTATGACGTACTTGGACCGTTCCTGTAGGGCTATGGAATGGGGATGGAGACAGGTCAGGGGTCTGGGGCTTGAAGGTTCAGGGTTTCGGGGTTAACCCTAAACCCTAAACCCTAAAAGGGGCCTGAATAATTAATTAGAATCGGGTTTGGTATGTTATACCATAGTTGCAATAGGGAACCCCCCCAAACTAGTAGTGGTAATTATTTCGGCCCCTGTATTAGGATGCTTGAACTGGCAGTCTGTAGTCTGTTGGGTTGAGGACTTTGTGCTACGATCGGATCACCACCTTTTGGGGCATACTGCAGCGCCCTATGCACTTGCTCCCACAGAGGAACCTAGGAACCCGAAGCCCCACCACCCCGAAGGAATTGCGTAGGAATGCTGTGTGGTCAGAGGAGAATATGTAGACTTAGGGTTTCTATAGTTTCGCTGTGGTGTTACAGGTTTCCCGTTTAGGGCCGGTCCAAGGGTATCAGGAGGGACCCTTAATAAGGACCCCTAGGTATATACCCGTAATATAGCTGTTATATACCCATTATGTAGCCCATTATAGGGTAGGGGTCCCCAGTAAGGGTTCCTCCTTTCCCCCTACTAAACCCTAAACCCTAAACCCTTACAGATCCCTTTAAAGGAACCCTAAGAGCCCTAAATTAAGAGTCCTTCCTTTTCCCCTTTGAGCCGAGGGGGTTGGAGGACTCAGGGTCTTCTGTTGGCATCGGGTCGAAGGTTGGAGTTTGAGATCGAGCTGGGCGGTTGTCAAAATTAAGGTCCTTTGAAGGGGATCTATAAGGGATCTATAGGCTTTAGGGGTTTTAGGGTTTGGGGTTTTGGTGTTTTGGGGTTGGGTGGCTGTCAAAATTAGGGTCCCTTTTTGGGTCCTTATTATAATAAGGCACCTAATATTTAGGGTACCCAAACAGGGACCATAATTTTGACAACCACCCAGCTAGCTTCCTGGCGCTCGAACAAGTTTGCTTATGGCACCAAGTAGTGTAAGGGGGGTGGCAGCTGACGTGCTTGTGGTGCTAGACCGTCCGGGCCACTGCATTCCTTAGATTCAGATTAGATTTTGTTTTCAATGGCTTGTGACTGTACTGTCCGTGATCCTACCTCCTACTCGCTTCACAACACCATTTAGAATCTTTCGAAAAGAGAATCCAGACCCTGATTCGTTATGGTTTATAAGCACCCCGAAGCGAGATGCACCCAAGTTTCAGAAACCACATATCAAGGCCTGGACAGTATGATCGAAGGTGGACTCTCTGCAAAAAACAAGGGGCAGACCCCTCACAGGACAGGCCCCCTAAACCCTAAATTCTGGACCCTAAACCCTACATAAATATAAAATCTCTAGATGAGCCTTCTTCCTTACATAGGTCCGACAACCCTACATATAACCCCTAAAACTCTAGACCCAAAACCGTCTCCCCTAAATCCGACAGACCCTAATCCCTCGCCTATTGCGGGCAGGCCAAGTCTGATGAGATGAAGAAAGCAGTGCTGCATTTGCTGGTGTCTCGTCGAAGTGTCCTAAACCCTAAACCCTAAGTTGAAAACTGTACCAAAGCCACCCCGAAACGAAGGGAAAATAATGGCCCAGCACCTGGAGAAAGCTATTACCCCTTAACCCTAAACCCTAAACCCTAAACCCCTACGGTCCAGGTAGGGTTTTCAGGCCTTTGCGCCTCGCCCTGAGGGTCTTCGCTCCACTGCTTATGGTGAGGGTTTAGGGTTTAGGGTTTAGGGTTTAGGGTTTTAGGGTTTAGGGTTTAGGGTTTAGGGTTTAGGGTTTTAGGGTTTAGGGTTTAGGGTTTTAGGGTTTAGGGTTTAGGGTTTAGGGTTTAGGGTTTAGGGTTTAGGGTTTTAGGGTTTAGGGTTTTAGGGTTTAGGGTTTAGGGTTTAGGGTTTAGGTCTGGTTTTTGAAGGTTGTGGCTGTACTGCTTCTGGTTGGGGTGTTTAGGGTTCCGGCCCAGGGGTTTAGGGTTTGATGGCTTCCGGTTCTGTATGCAACACCTAGAGTCTAGAGTTACGGGCCGAAGAGCTTCGGGTTTAGGGCTTGGGATCTCAGTGATTTCGTGTTTCATGGTCTTGGTGTTCGAAGCAGGCATTCCTGCCCATAGACCCCAATGCTGGGGGACACCACCCCTATAAGGGCTCTCACGATATTTACGCCCCGCCCAACCACGCTCCCAGTAGGAGCAAGCAGCAGAGCGCGAAGCGCGAAAGCCAAGCCCTAAACGTAGGTTGAGGCAAGGTGCACAGCCCCTAAACCCCTAAACTCTAAACCCTGAAACCTAAACCATGAACCTAAACCCTAGACCATGGACCCTAACTCCTAAACCCTAAAGACCCTAAACCCTAAAGCCCCTGAGCCGCCTGAGCCTTCCAGCCTCTTTGCCCCAAAAGGACATCTTCAAGAAGCTGGACAACGACAAGGTTTTTTGGGGTTTAAGGTATAGGGGTTAGGGGTTAGGGTTTAGGATTGAGGATTTGGGGCTTAGGGTTCAGGATTTAAGGTTAAGAAGCTGGACAACGACGAGGCGTTTTGGGGGGTTAATGCTTTGAGGAGTTTAGGGTTTAGGGTGCAGTGCAGGGTTGAGGGTTTGGGATTTGGGGTTTAGGGTTTTGGCTTCCGGTTTAATCTAGGGCTTCGACAAGGCATTTTGGGGGTTTACAGTTTGAAGTGCTACGTTAACCCTGAGTATAACCTACGTTTTTAGGGTTCCTTATTATGAGGTCCTTATATACATCCTTAGAAAGGTATATAGGATATTCGTGGTCATAAGAAGTTCCCCAAGCCCGGCTACCCTTTATCGTAACCATCAAAGCGAAGCTTGGCCCTTGCTTCTAAAAACGGACTGTGCAGGCTTGAATGCTATTCTTTAGCACCTTCGTTCGCCCCCCCACCCCCACAAAAATTAAAGCCAGAAGAAAAACCTTTGTCCACATATGCAGACTTGACCGTTGCAACACCTGTACGGTCCTGTATCTTTAAAGCAGCGCATTCAACGACGAAGGTTATAATCAGTCAGGTGAAACCTTGAAGCTGCAAGTTCCTTAACGTCGAGAGACCCCATCGACACCCTGAGTAGGGAATGCGACTGATATCAAGGCCCCTAGGAACTTTCGTGAAGCTTTGAAACCCAAAAATCTGAACTCGAAGCCCTTAACAATACACCCATAAGCTAAACCCAAGATCCCTAGGGTATAATACAGTATAGTATAGTATAATATAGTACATTATAGTATAGTACAGCATAATACAGTATAACATAGATTCATATAGTATAATGTAGTATAATAATGTAATAGCATAATTGTAGTTCGGGTTACTTTGTGGTGTAGGCTATCTGGTGCTGCAACCTCGTCTCAGTCGGACAGGACGGCGGCCTCTCCCGTCAGGAGTTGGGTGCGCTTCCTGCACCTGGGCCTGGCCTAGGTAGATCCCTTATAGATCCCTTTCAAGGAATCTAGATCCCTTTAAAGGATCCCTATTGATCTCTTTAAAGGAAACCTTATAGATCCCTTTAAAGGAATCCTTATGGTCCTTATAGATCCCTTTCAAGGATCCCAAGCCTTCAACCCCCAATTACGAGGGTCGAAGAGTTTGGGGTTTATTAGCGCTTCAGGGCTCTAAGGGGCTTACACTACTATTGAGAGAGACTAGGTTGGATTTTGGGACATTTTTTATTTTCCGTATTCGGGTTTATAAGGGACCCTATATGAATATTTTTCAGGGTGTTTAAAGGCCAACCCAGGAGAGCTTACTGGGAAACCTGAACATGTCGATCGGGGACGGATCCTCCTGTTTAGGGTTTGTAGGGATTAGGGCTGACTCGGAAGGAAGTTGGCAAGCAAAGAACTGTTTGGGGCCCCAGAAGCACCCACACCATAAACTTTAGAACTTTAGAAGCTGCCCCCACCCTGTAATAGTGACTATAAGGATTATATTAGGGCCCCGTTATATTCCGATTATACCACTATCACAGGGTGGGGGTCCCTTCTAACATAAACTGTTGAATCCTGCCGTTTGTAGGGATATAGAAGTCTTCTAAACACTTTAATTGTTTTAGGTTTGAGAGCTTTCTGGGGCGGCCATCAGTCTCACGTGTACCAGGTACCTGAGTGGTGTATAGTTTGGGACTTCCAGGGGCTCCAATGTAGGTGCGATATTTCCGACGTATAATTCAGTGCAAAGCCCTGCTCCCATCCGCTTCACCCTTCCCCCCGAAGCCCTCCGCTCTGAAGGCTTCTGCGTCCAATTGAGCCTACTTTTCATCTCAAAAGGAATAGAGGGTTATTATAAAAGCCCTCTTGAGCCTACTTTTCATCTTAAAAGGAATAGAGAATAGAGGATGTTTATAGAAACCCTCTTGAGCCTACTTTTCATCTTAAAAGGAATGTGGGTTCAAATGGGGGCAGTGCGTGGAGATTGGCGCACCTCTGCCTTTGCAGGTGTCCCCAGTGTGGGGGATCCTCTGCCTATGAACGATATCCATGAGCAAGTCACAGGAACACCCGAATACCATGACACTCGAATGCTTTCGACACCAAGACTTTACACTTCCAAACCTATTAAGCCTAATTATACCCCGTAGCCGAAGCTTCCTCAACTTTCAAAAGCACCAAGGAAACTCTCATCCCCCACGACTTGCTGGCAGCGCTGTGCGTTGACAACCTCGTTACTCGGAGCTTAATTCTGCTGCTGCGTGCACCATTTCCGACACACTACCATAGTCAAGCGCATGACTCATGATGATGATGATGATGGAAAGGATAACGATGATCGCGATGATGCGACGGAGGAGTGATGGTAATCAGAAGCAGCAGGAGGAGAGGTGGTAGTGACGTTCTGCGGATGCCTATTATGACTTTGCAGACAGCACCATCAACCTAAGCCCTAACCCAGACCCCCGGGAGGATCGAGAAAGTAGATCCCCTAATTTGGGACACTGTACTGCTGAGGGTACTCTATAGGAACCCCCATTAAGGGATCTACTTTTTGGATCCTCCCGCGGGTAGTGTCATTCCCAACTCAATGAAATTTGTTGTTGCAGACGAGGGTTGAGGGGTTCTTTGCCCAGGATTCCGGCCTTATGCTGGGAGATTCATGAATTGGTGGCCGAACACAGTGGCAGACGCAGAAGTGGAGGTACAAGTGGCAGCGGTAGCAGCAGTAGCTCAGTCCTAGTAGCAGGGGAGCGCGAGCGGGAGCTTGAATAGATAACTTGTAGTTTCATCTGGGATCCTTATTTAGTACATCGGTTTAGGGGTTAGGGCCAGGGTTTAGGTTTTTCCAAATTACTACTATTTGCTTAAGAAACACCCAAAAAATAAAAATAATAATCCCTATATTACCCCCATAAGGAATAATTTTTTTATTTTTTTGGGGTTCTTAAGCAAATAGTAGATTAGGATCTAGAATTGAAGCCCTCCAAAGCCTCGGCGCATTTCCTCAGGCCATAGATGAATCTTCTTGGATCTTGCGGGCACGCTCGCGATTCAGTCACAAGCCACATCACCACCAGGGAATCTGGCAAATCCCCAAACCCGAAACCTCAACCTCCAAAATCCTAGGCACATGATCAATACTTCCGAAACGAACTCGTAGCTGAAATGGTGGCCTTTTAGCAGATACTCAAAGGGGAAAAGGAGGGACCCTTAATGGGGACCCCTACCCTATAATGGGGCTATATAGTGGGTATATAATGGCTATGTTATGGCTATATACGTAGGGGTCCCTATTAGGGGTCCCTCCTTTTACCTTTTGAAATACCTTATCCCAGCCCCGAGCCCTTAGCCTCCAAATTTGTTCATGAGGTCGAGCTGTTCGACTTGCTAGATGTGGACCAAACAGGATCGCGCGGTCATGTCAAAGATATATAGTGAAGCCTATAGAAAGTTGGAACATGGGTTTAGGAGGAGTATGATTCTTGCTAGGATCCATTCTACTTTACCTTAAGGCCATGAGCATGCTAATGTTCCAAGTTTCTGGTTTCTTCTATAAGGATTCAGGCCATAGAGGTTTGGAGTCATTGGAGCTTCGGGTGTTGGGGCTTTTGGCTCGAGTGTGGGCTTTACAGTGGGCTTCCGGTGGTGTACGGCTGGGGGTCGGAGTTTACAGGCTTTCTTCCTTGGAGGGATAGGCCTGAGGGACAGGGCAGTTTTCGTGATACCGAACGACCCTTCGACAGTTAATCCCCTGAAAGGAAGCCTTCAGCACTTGGTGCGAGGTTTATAGAATGTAGATGTATGTAGGTTTGGGGGTTTAGGGTGGAAGGGTGTTTTGAAGACTGAGCTGACTATCTCTTCACGCGAGATTTTTACAATTGTTCGATGTGTTAGCTGGGAATGTTCCCCAAACCCTAAACCCTAAACCCTAAACCCCTAAACCCTAAACCCTAAACCCTGCGTGGTGTTTAAACCTCGCCTTGCGGCCGGAACCCTGGTTTGGCCTCCCTCATCTGCTAGGCCTGCTAAGCATAGGTTGGTGGCTCCTTGAACCATATACTTTAGAAGCTGCCCCCACCCTGTACTAGTGGTATAATGGGAATATAATAGGGCCCTAATATAATCCTATATAATCCTTATGGTCACTATTACAGGGTGGGGGCCCCTTCTAACATATACCATTAAGTTTATCAAGTTTGGGGCTTTGCGACGCATTGTGGCTTCAGGATTTCGAGTGTCCCTGCCCTGAGGCACCGGTGTGAGCCAGAGCGAAATACTCGCCAAAGCAATACTTGGCGCATTACAGTATTACTGGTACTGTTACTATTGCTATTACGATTACCACGACTATTACCGTTAATAACTTAGTAGTTTGAGAGCTAGGTTGCTCTGTGTGGGCCCCTGTTGCTACATAGCTGCTCCTGGGACTACGGAAAAACGCAAAGTTCAGCCAAGCATTCCCCACTCTTGCGTAGCATAGGCGAAATCAATTTGATTAAGTACACTACATCGCCATTACCGTCCAAGTACGCAGCCCTACCGATTGGTATTCCGCAGAAATAGAGTTTTCAGAGGTCACAAGCACAATGGATGATCAATGGCCTTCGACAGAATCTTACAGGTTGCCATCATATTAAAGAGCAAGCGAGGAAGAATGAGCACAGCCATTGCCCCGAATTCGTCTGGACGAGGGGCCAGTTGAATTTCCTCGGATGTCCAAAAATCAGGGTCCAGGAGGAGATTTCACATGCAGGCTTCAAGAGGTGATTGTGCAAACCGGGAGGCTAGGACTAGTCGTAGTACTGTAGCAGTAGTAGGAGTAGTCGCCGTAGTAGTCGTAGTAGCAGTAGCAGTAGCAGTAGCTACTGCGGTGTTGCGTAGCACGGCAGCAGGCATGCTTTGCGTAGCAGTAGCAGTAGCAGTAGCAGTAGCAGTAGGAGTAGTAGTAGTAGTAGTAGTAGTCGTAGTCGTAGTCGTAGTCGTAGTCGTAGTCGTAGTCGTAGTCGTAGTCGCAGTCGCAGTCGCAGTCGCAGTCGCAGTCGCAGTAGCAGTAGCAGTAGCAGTAGCAGTAGCAGTAGCAGTAGCAGTAGCAGTAGCAGTAGCAGGAGCAGGAGCAGGAGCAGGAGCAGGAGCAGTAGCAGTAGTCGTAGTCGTAGTCGTAGTCGTAGTCGTCGTTGTTGTCGTAGTTGGTTCAGACTCCAACAACCTGATGGGGCAGGAACCATCGACAGGGATGAATTCGTGGACGGTGTCCTCCACATGATTGTAAGGGACGTGCCGGTGGAGCCTCGCACGCACGGGTTTGAGGCGTAAGGGTGTAGAATTTGGGGGGGGTTCGGATTAAGGGTTTGAGGTTCAGGGCTTCAGATGTCGGGTCTGGGATTCAGAGGGTTTAGGGATTTAGGGTTCAGGGACACGAGATCTACTGATGGATGTACCTTTCCTTTCAGTGTTGCGGTTTTTGCGCAGTGCCGGTGCACGTTCGTATACCTGTGGCCGGTAATAGTATACAGGCCTAAAATATTATTGCCAAATCAATTTTGGATTTCCTTACAATAATTATAGTATTATCCCAGAGCCCTAATTATTCTAAGAACCTTAAACCCTAGACCCTAAATTTAGGGTTTAGGGTTTAGGTTAGGGTATTCTACTAGTATTCTACTTATGGAGGCCCCTACATTACTTGAACTCAGCAGCATCCCAATACTGGACTCCCGAAGCTGGTATGCCTTTCTGCTCCTGATAAAGGACGCCAAACCCCCCCTAAACCCTAAACCTTAATCCTTAAACCCTAAACCTTGATCCCTAAACTAAGCCCCTAAACCCTAAACCTTATATAATCCCTAAACCTTAATATCCTTAAATTCTAAGCCCCTAAATCTTAACCCCTGTAGTGCCATCGAACCCTGCCTTCTAGCAAAGGCTTCCAACGGGAGAACTTTCTCTGCAGTCGGAAAAAGGTGCTCAAAAAAAGGCCTCAATCCCTAAACCCTAAACTATGAGTCACAAGAGTGTTCGATACAGATTGCAAACTAAGCTTTAGTAAGGCTCCTACACTAGGTTCCTAGTAGTACCTTTTAAAAACCGAATAGTAGGGAAAAGGGTCCACTCAAGAACCTAGCCGCGAGCTATAGCTCCTGTGTATGTACCCCAAAGCCTAAACTCTAAACCCTAAACCCTAAATGGGCTTTCGAAGAGCACTCTGCAGTTCGAAAAGGAGCCCTTCAACAAAAAGACCCAAAACCCTCTATTATATTTATATATGTACAGACACATACATACATACATATATATATATATATGTATATATATATATCTATATGTAGAGCCGGAGGAGACGATGAGGATGATGAGCATGCTGCAATCTGTGCAGCACCATCTCACTTCTCTGGATCAGACGTGCCCTTTCTGAAACCCAGGGTTTATGAGGATTAAGGGTGTAGGATTTGGGGATCCAGGGTTTAAAACATTTAGGAACCGGGGTTTAGGATTTAGGAACCAAAGTTTAGGATTTAGAAAGAGGGTCTGTGATGCCCTAAACCAGGACACTTTGCCCTAGGCCACAAACTCAAAACCGTGTTGCCTGTTTTTGGACTGCTTGGACGGGCTCTCGGAGGAATGCGAGTGTGACCGGTAGCACCGTGCATCCCACTTCGGTTTCCTTTGCGGAAATGTCTTCGTTTTGAGTTTGGAATGCGCACCTCCAACCTCGACACTGTCGGAAACAGACCGGAGTCTACCTTGCACCATAGATCGGTCTTTGTGTTACCGTGTCAGGTATGTTCCTTGAGTTATTGACGTTTATTGTGTTTTCCGGATCCTCAGCGCTGAAGTCTAACCCTAAACCGCGTGAACCTTACACCCTAAACTTGTAGCCGGTTGTTTGTCTATCTATGTGTCTATCTATCCACCCATCCGTTTGTCTGTCTGTCTGAAGATCTGTTCATCTAGATACATCTGTCTGTTTATCTGTCCATCAGTCTATCTACCTATCTTATCTATCTATCTTTCTGTCTCCGGTTATCTGCCTATCTGTCTGACTATCTATCTGTCTCTCTCTATACAGCCAAAAGTGCGAAATTCTAGGAAGGTCTGATATTTCACCCTCGAATAACAACACCACATTCCTTATCACCTGCAAAACCCTGCAGGGTGCAGGAGACCCCAAAATATAGAAGCCTGAACAGTTACCAATACTGCTCCTGAGGGTTTCTCAATACAGCTCATCTATGATATTCGACGCGGAAAACCCTGTTGTGAGGATTGGGGCGCCTAAGTTCAATCCCTACAGCATAACCCTTTCATAACCCTCTAAAAGCTTCCAGGAACCCTGAAATCAAGAAGCCCTCAACCGTAAACCCTTCAAGGCAGAGATTGCTGATGTTGAGAACTTCTGGAGAAGACGTGAGCTTCCTCTAAAGTACACCTGGTTCAGGTCGCAGCTTGAAGCAAGGTCGCTTGTTTTCCTTGAATGGCCTGAGGTCTTAACCCCAGCCAAAGCTGTAAGCTAGAAGATCGGTCTTAGGGGCCATCTGGGTGGTAAACCCTCGTGCCCTGTTTAGTTTCACTTCTGTGATGGCGGAGGAGGCACAGCGCCGAGTCGAAGCAGTCAAGGAGTTGAGTTCCTTAGGGTCTCGTGGCCCATAATCACAAGAACAGACTTTGCGGGTATAGTAGCTTTTTATTTCTATTATGCTGTTTTTTTTTATCTTTTTGTTATTATAGCTATAGTAATGGAGCCTCCAGGAATAGTACTGCCATCTATGCAGGCCCTTCTTTACCCTCAATGAAACACTGCCTACGAATTCACCTCTCAACATGCCCGGTAATTCATAGTACTGATCAGGGTTACCCAAAAGCTTATATATACACCCTAAGACATACCCCTGAAACCCCAAAGCCCACACCCATCAACCCTAAACCTATGTGATCCTCCGGAGTTTCAAGCACACTTCCACGACGCTGCCGTGCATCCCACACACGACGAAGCCACGACGTAAACACAGCTCTAGCAACACGGGTCGGAATAAACCCTAAACCCTAAACCCTAAACCCTAAACCCTAAACCTCTAGCAACACGGGTCGGAATAAGAAGCAAGAATACGCCCTCAGAGTCCCTATAGTCTATAGGCTTACCCTCGTCGAGATATTCCGGCCCCTTTTGTTGGAGCTCTTGCTGGTGCAACTTCGGAAAGCCCAAGTGGCTTCTTTTCCCGAGATCTCAACAACTTGGATTTAGGGTTTAGAGTTTAGGATTTGGAGTGCAGGGTTTAGGGTTGGCTTCTAGGGTTTGGGTGCAGGGCTTGGGGCGGAACCTATGTGGTTTGCAAAGGATTGAAAGGTTCAACAGGGTTTAACTGGGTTGAGTGGTGTTGGTTTCTTGCTTCGCGAAACGCAGAATCTGCTGTATGTTGGGTTGAGGGCTTGTGGTTTAGTCAGTTTCGAGAAAGACAGCAATCAAAGAGGCCTGCTCATCATGGCCTGTGTGCAGAAGCTTCTTGCGGGCGTTTGAGCGGCAGTCCCAAGAGAGACTCGTCGTGCCTGGCTTCTGCCCTTCCCTAAGGCTCCATGTACCTCTTACTATATAGTATGTACATTGGCTTACAGAGGTTCCCATTTAATTAGTAGAGGTACTTTAAGCCCTAAGTATAAGCCCTAAACCCCAAATCCACAGGTAATCCCAAAGGGTCCAAAGTACCTATATGGTAGAATGTAGGGTTTCTATATTATAAATGACTATTATGATTTGGGGAAGTATCCCCCATAACAGTACCCCTATAGATCCCTTAAAAGAATCCTTCAAAGGACCTCTATAGACCCTTAAGCGAAACCCTTAAAGTATTTCCCCATAACAGTACCTAGGACCCTGTGGGAATACAGGTATATGGAGCCTTAGGGCTCGCTGCCGCAACATCTGCACAGGGGAAAGGAAAAGCCCACAGGCTTACCCGGCCCTGCAGTCATGCCCCCAACCCGGGTTTAGGGATTAGGGTTTTAGGGTTTAGAGTTTTGGGTTTAGGGTTTTGGTGTTTAGGGCTTAGGGCACCTCTGCATGATGCACAAATCTGGACACAAGCACAAAGAAGTTATTGTAGTCTATACTCCTGTTTACACCCGACACACACAACACAAATCCCCTAACCACCGAGGTTCAGGCACAACCCTCACGCTCCTGTTGATCGTTCCTTTCGTAGCAAACGCCAACGAGGGGGATAGGGAGGCATCGCCCCAGATACTTATTCCACACCACAATCTTGAAGGTCTGTATGGAGGTTTCTGCAAATAGCAAATAGGGAACCCTAATATAGCACCCGAGATAGTAGGATCCTCATTGTAAAGACCTTAAAGTAACGTACCCCTAACATTCGGAAACTCCCGTAGGGGCTCAGTTTTTGAGTGGGTTTAGTGCATGCGAGGTACCCCGAAACCCTGGGGATCAAAAAAGCTCAAAAGCCTTCTATAGTATGGTCTTTGAGCCCAAAAGCCTTAATGACTGAGTCCTAAGATCCCTAGGGACGAGCCCTGTAAAGCCCCTTATAGATCCCGTTAAAGGAACCCTATAGGAGTCCTAAGATCCCTAGAAAAAAAGTGGGTTCAGGAAGTGTTGGCCTTTGAGTTTGGGGCTCGGGCTTGGAGATGCGGGTTGGGGGTTTCGGGGTTTAGGGGTTCAGGGGTTTAGGGGTTTAGGGGTTTAGGGGTTTAGGGGTTCAGGGTTTAGGGGTTAGGGGTTTAGGGGTTTAGGGTTTAGGAGTCCGAGCAATGGGTATAAGTAGTCCTTCTAGGCCCTATTCTTTGCCACATTTTCGGACGGGGCCCGTACTAATTGTTTACCCCCCTCCCACCCAACGAGATCCAACCAGCGTCAGGGACCCCAAATGCATATAAGCATAAACATTTTGTAGGGATATCCCTACCTTATTGGGCTTCATTATAAGGGGGTTTTGCTTATGTGCTCTTTTGGTGCCCTACGGCAGGTTGCGGCGGCAAGTCTGACCTCGATTTATTGGGCAGCGCTGAGCGCGGCCCGCCCCTGGGACTATATCTATAATTGCTGTATATCTTATATGTACAGCAAAGGCCAGATTTGTTCCAAATACTGAGAAGCACTATACATGTCATGTTTTCTGAGGTGCTTACCCATTTCAGGAGGTCATTTTGTCATGATTCTCAGGTTCGGTTGTCAGAAATAGGCCCAGACGAAGCACTGGCTTTGATGATCCTGATGTCCATGCTCATGTCGTAGGACATGAAGAGGAACATGACGATGTTGCTTTTGATGGTGACGATGGTGCCGATGGTGACGGTCATTACAAACAAGACCGACAATAAGAATAGCAAGCGAACCGCGACATCTAGTGAGTCTGCGAATGATGCCTTGGGGGATGGCGGCATCAGGGGCGGGGGGAAAATAGTGAAACGGGGTTCCCAGGGCTAGCCCCATAGCTCCCACTTAGGCGCTTATATAGTTTTCTTGTTTTTGTTTGAAATTTGTCTTACTTAAACAGTATCATGCTTTGTGCCCATCTTACTCAATACTCATCAGTATCTTAACGGCCGTCGTTTGGGCTAGGCACCTCCCCCATTATGTCATGCTATCTTATGTCATAAGCTTCGGCAGAAGTTCGCTACCTTAGTCTTTTTATGTCGGGTTTTAGGTATAGTATTATGTAGAGGTTTTATGTGGTGGCTTGCCTTCTTCGTCTTTACCGTCTACGAGGAGCGCATGGCGAGTTTAACACTTCATGCTTCAATTCTTGAAGTTGCCTGTGAGCCGATCTGTGTCAGCACAAGAGCTTCAGATCATTCTTGTTTATGAATCTCATCTGGTGTTCAAGATATTTCGGTCTAGACTCGTGAGCGTTGCTCGCGACTACGGACAACTCGAGTGACGATGAAGTTGCCAAAGAGTTGCGGCGTCATCTTTATGATGAAGACGAAGAGGAGGCAGACGAAGTCACAAGCAGTGAAAGCGTCCCCAGGACAATGACAGCTTGATGGAAAACAACGATGTGCAGGGCATCAACGAAGCATTGACAAAGATGGAGTTGCTGAACTTGCGCATTGAGCATGGCATCAAGAATGCGAAAGAGTGGCTGGTCAAGAAAAAGCAGAACATCACCATTGGCGTTGATTTGGAGAGTGGAGAAGGGATTATCAAGGAACGGTCTCAGCGACGAGCACATACAAAAGGCATTGGACGCAGGATGAAATACTCCGAGCGGGTACACCAACCTTGACATTCAGTATGGCAACAGGCGTCTCTCTCATCATCATCGCTGGTCTGTGTCAGCATGGCAGATGGGTGACACTGAGTGATGGCGAAGTTCTACGCCTTGTGCCAAAAGACGCAACGACAAAGTGACGCGTTACCTAGAAACAACAAGCACTCTCTGTAGCCGTAGGCAAAAGCACCGACAAGGACACCATGGATGATTATAAGAAGAAAAGGATGCTGAAGCACGAAGAGCAATTGCAGATAAGAAACAAACTGAAGCGAGTGATATCAGTCTACCTGTGGGTGATCAAAAACGTTATGCGCCTTCAGCATCTTCATCAAGTCCTAGAAGAAGTTCAAACATAAGTGTCTTATTACCCTATGACCCGTTGACGAAAAGGCATCAAGTGAATATTTAAATTGCTCACTTCTTGAAACAGTTCAAAGTTCTGTTCCGAGCAATAGAACAGTTGATTATGTTGATGAAGCACCACCACCACAAAGTGTTGCTACTTTTCTTAGACGTCAGGAAACACTAGAACACAATAGAGGCAGAAGTTCCAGAGAAAGCGCTAGGTCAATAAGTAGTTAATTTCTTTTAATGGTTTTACCAGCCCACTTAAAGTAACAAACAATAGTAATATGTTTATATATATATATATATAATGGTTATGACTTGCCTAGCAGTTGACAACGAAAAGAAATAGCCATGGATGCTGACCTTTTTGATGCGTTATGGCGTTCAAACAGAACAAGAAGAAACCAGCAAAGAAGAGAAACGAAAGCGAAACAAACAGATATCAAATGATAAACATAATCAGCTTGACAGAGGGTGAGGATATTTTAATGGGTATTTTCGACGCCATACAGATGTCAGGAATGTGAAAAGTGAAAGGAAATGATAAGTAGCGGAACTAATAAACCAAGCATCAAAAGCCATGAAATATGTAAATCTGTGAAGATAAGCTAGAGAAAGAGCATTTTATTCTGGATAGCATCTTGTTTAATTTGAACATAGTGATAGACTGGTGAGTAAAGAAGCAAAAATATCCAAGTTACATTAGGATGTAAAGCAAGGTTTCGGTCGCACTAGGAATTTAAAGAGTTTATATGATGGTGCTATAAAACCAGGTCTAGCAATTACACAAGAAGAAGCTTCAAAATGGTGAAAAACCAATCCATAAAACAGAAAAGCCATTATAAA